TCTATCTATCTATCTATCTATCTATCTATCTATCTATCTATCTATCTATCTATCTATCTATCTATCTATCTATCTCATACTGATTCATGTGTTTTGTTTGTTGAATTGTCTATCTGCTTATTCATTCATTTATTCATGAAACGAGGCCAAATTTAGCCTCAGCATCCCTTTGTTTTGAACTGGAAATGATGATTCATCCTTTTATTTTATCATGTCTGGATATTTGTTAAGAACTTTACACACATCTACCTAAAACCTAGAACAGTTGCAGGTCGTTTAAAATGCTACTTTCCAAACCAGTTTTATAAAAACTCCCAAATCCAGAACTTTATGGGAAAGAATGAAGTCATTTTGTCTTGCTTTCTTCAGCCTATCAAACATTTATTTACACTGAAAATATGAATTTTCAACTTTAGAGCTTGTGCTTTCATTATAGAGATTATTTGAGAGTATAGAAAATGTCAAATAGGTATTGAATTTGGTTAATTAGGAATCTTTTTTAAATTTTTTATAAACATCAGATCACCGTTGCACATCTGTTCCCTCCGTGTCATCTTCCCAGGTCTCCAAAGCAGCTGCAGACCTCATGGCGTACTGTGACGCCCACACACGTGAGGACCCCCTCATCGTGCCTGTCCCCGCCTCCGAGAACCCCTTCAGGGAGAAGAAGTTCTTCTGCACCATCCTCTGATGAGCCGCCGCGGGAACCTTTCCAAGTGCGGGCATGGCGTTGCCTGGCTTCTCTGTCTTCACCACACCTGAAGCTACTGGCCATCAAAGGCATTGAGTGGAGTTTTGCCTGGTGGACACTGTTGTTGCTGGTCAGCTCTGTCTTAGTGGCTGAGGGTTTTGGGGGAGTCAGCCACCGAAGTGGCAACCCAGTGAGCGTTACCATGTCTTGTTAAATAGGTTTGTTATTGCTTTGTTGTTAGAGAACAGCCTTGCTCAGTGCTTTAACGAGATGAAAGATGTATTTTCCCCTTTTTCTTTTTTGAATTTTCTTGTGCTAGATCAGAACTTTCCTCAGGAAACAGAATATTTGCTCACCGCTGTAAGTTTTCAAACATGTCTCCCCTTTAACTTTATTTAGTATAAAGTTTTTGCATTCGTACAGTTTTGAACATGATTTATTTTCCACCCGGTCTTGAGGTTGGATTTCTAAGCAGCATTGGCCAAAATTGGTCACCCACTTCTTTCAAATTTCTCAGAAATTAAAAATTATATTTGCTCTTTAGTGTAGAAAATGTGACTCAAATGGAGACTTTAACAGCTGCAAACTTGACTTAGATTCCTCCTTTAAAGACTTGTGACTTGACTGACTTAACTTGGACTCGTGGTTTTCTGCTTAATTCTGATTAAGAATCTTTTACCTGCATAACTGGATTTAATTCAAGCTAATAAACGTGCTCTGACGCCTGATACAGCACATATTATCCTCTGAAAACATTTATTTAATTAGTATTCATGGACTGTTGGATATTATTCACATTAGCTGTTTCATCGCAAAACCCCCAAACTTTTCCAAATAACTTTAACTTATTTTTGAACAAAGTAGTCTTAGATCAGCTGTGCCACAAAAATATACACTGATCATCAAAATAAGAGCACCTCCTTTCTTTTAAAAACGTTTAGAAATCCTACATATTGTCTCACCTACTTATGCCTCATGGTTTAGGTTGAGAAACATATTTCAAACATATATAGTGTAGTGTTGTCTTAAGAAGTGAACTACTTTTAACCACAGAGATAAACAATCACTAAACAAACAGTCATTTACTAATTCATAATTTAATTATTTAGTTAATCCCTTGTTTTTTTTAATTTATATATATATATATATATATATATATTAGAGCTGAAACAATTAATCGTGATTAATCGATGATTGAAATAATCTTCAATAATCTTTATTGTGAACCGTAGTATATAGCCCTTAAACTGACAGAGCAACCTACTCTGAGCAGTAATTATATAAAAATTGTAAAAACAATATATAATCATTTTTAATTTAAGAGAAACAACCTTTTTGTCTGTCAATATGCTCTATCCAGAACCCCTCAAGTGGAAAATCTTAGTTTCATCTGGTTTAATTGAGTAAAAAATCTTCTTTAAGGAACATTTGGCTATCAGATTATTAATCGATTAATCGAAAAAATAATTGGCAGATTAATCGATTTGTAAAATAATCATTAGTTGCAGCCCTGATATATGTATATATATATATCTATATATATATTTCTTTTTTTACTATATTTAAGACTAAAATTATATTTACTCTATTTTGAACAAGTTTAAATGGCTTACGGCAGTTTTTTTTTAGCTCATTTATTTAAATTTCTAAAATATTAATGTTTGCTAATGTTACAACATTAACCAACTGTTAATTTAGCAGATACTACTTTTGGCCCAAGGACGAACACTTTAGGAAATGCATTACTGACCTACACTGTTGGAATGACTGAGGAAGACTAAGACTAAATAGTTAACCTTTGATACTGATAACTTGACAACTGAGTTGGGGTAAAAAAAAAAACCTTGAGATTCATTCATTAAACCCTTGAAACCCAGATATCACTTAAATCCCAGAGACTTTAGACTTCATGAACCTATACGCTACAGACCTGGAATGTGACAGACTCACATTTAAAGACGAGAAAGAGTCATGCTTTGACTGCAATTTTAATCCAACATATTTAGGTTATAGTTGCACACAGCAGCTCTGATAGGTGTTGCTCTATATACTGATCATACATCATTCACTGACCATAGGTTTATAATATTTTATAACAGGTAGTCCTTTTATGCTGTATTATCAAAATACTGACCATATGGATATTTCTCTTGCAGAACGCTGCATTAAACATCAGTACAGTGTTATAGCTGGCATGTATTTAAAGTAGAGATGCAACAATCCAGTTTTTTTCCAATACGATACCTGGGCTGAGCGTTTCGGCCAATATCTGATACCGATTCGATTCAACTGTAAAAAATAGTTACGAAAGGTAACAAATGAACACAGATATAAGCATACTTTGTATTATTTATCAACAGATATGCAGAAAAAAGAAAGAAAGAACAGTTACAGGTGTGGATCTCAGATCACCAAAACCCAAATCCAGCTAAATAGTCACTTTGGAACCGATATTTGATCCAGGTATCAGATATTGGCTCTGCGAATCTCTAATTTAAATAGAAAATGACTTCAAACTTGACTTGTGAGAAATTACATCACTTCAGTCTGGCACAGGCAAAGAAACTCAGTCCTGTAATAAATAATTTTATTCACCCTGAAAATAAGAGTGAGAGGCTTGCAAATGAGTTCTGTGCATGCACAACTATTTAATCTATTTCTATAAAGATGGAACAAAAACAGGCAACATCTTTAAGGTTAAACCAACCAACTTTGTTAAGAGATTTATTCATGGATCTGTCATTTTCTTTGGTTTTCTGTTCGATTTACCTTGAATTAGTTTTATTCCTTTCCAATAGGAGACATTCAATTTTCAGGAGGTGTTTTCCTCCTCTGTTTTCTGGGTCTGTTTCCTGAGACTGGTTCCCGTTTGCCTGTCTTATAGAGTGAATGGCACGGCCTTTGACATTAATGCCGGACCAGAGGCCTGCATGTTTCTTCGCTCCTCCTCTTTTTGACAGCTCCCTCACTTTCCGAGGGACTGTCAGTCCTTTAGATTGTACAGTATGTTACAGTGCCAATTTCTGTGAGAGCTGTGTGATTCTCACCCTGCAAGCCCGCTGTCCTTCCTTTCCCTTTTATTTGTTTCGGCAGAAAAAGCACACTGTCGAAAAAAACATTTCCTTTACATAGTAGATGAATAGCATTTGCTAATTTTTACAATAACTTGTTATGATCGTTATTATTATTATTATTATTGTTATCGGTAGTAATATTGAATATTTGTTGCACAGCACTGACAGCTACATGACGTGTAGTGCTACTCTAAGCTTGTATGAAGAAAAAACTGTTTATAAATTATTGCAATTATTGATACTATCTCTGTATTTTTTAAGAACAACAGTTAGGGTTGTTTAGATGATATGATCCCTTTAGTGGCTCAAACCTTTTTTTTCCTGTATAATTATGATAAATTTCCTCCAGAACAGCAGCTGTGACACAGGTTGCATCATCAGATCATTTGTAGGACAACAAACGTTTTGAGGTTTTTGTTTCATAACAAGATGGTGCCAAATCTACAATAGGAACTAAAAAGAGTTGAATAATGCATGGATCTGTTTCTGTCTACAACAGAGAGCACTGTTATTATATAAAATATTGCATTGTCATTGATTTGTATGGCTGTTGCAGTGTCAGATGCTGTTGTTTGCTCCTCTGGTGGAGATATGTAAATCAGAAAAGCTTTCAAAAGATTAATATGTCCCTGTAGAGTTATAATCTGACCTTTGAAATTTGTGAAAAAATTGTCCTATAAGTTCATTTATATAGCAAAGAACTAGTTGTTCTTTTCTGCACATATTGTCCTGCATCCTCTGTTGTCTTTTAAACTTGTTCTCTGGGATTTTTATAGGATTTACAACATTTACAACATTGTTTATATACATTTTTGCTAATTTCTTTCTTTGGTAAAACAAAACAGGCCCACAGCATTACAGAACATCTACCATCAGGGGGGGATTTACCATTAGGCAATACTAGGCAGTTGCCTAGGGCCCCAAGTTCCTGGGGCCCCATAAAACTCTGTTTCCATGTATGGTTATTACAACTAATCCTTATTTGTGCACATTAATTATGTTTTTGATAAAAATCCTTTGGCTAAAATGCCATCAGAACGCTGATAAATAGAGAGGAAAAAGGGACAAGAAGAGAGGAACAAAACCTAGAACAAATAATGGATGTCTATTCTATTAACATTTCTCTATCTGTAGAATGGGTCTGTTTTATTGGGGCCCCCTGCCTGTCTTTGCCTAGGGCCCCAAATTTCCTAAATCCGCCCCTGTCTACCATACTCAACAGTTGGGTATAAGATACCTCTCTTTTCCCCCTCTTTTTTGTGCAGACATTTTTAAAAAAGAATCAGCTTATCTGACCAGAGCACGTGGCTCTAGTTAAAATCCCTGATGAATTTTGAAAATTTAACAATTTAGATGTTCAACATTCCTCCTAAACCACCAGCTGGCCTGTAGATACCTGTTCTTACAAAGACATCCTGACCCTAAGATGGTATTATTTGCAATACATTTGCATCAGTTTAATGGCTTTAATGGTTTTCAAGTCTTTCTAATTTTGAAGACCAGCAAAGAGGAAAGGACCTTTTTTTGTCATATACTCACCAATAAAATGGACATTCCTAGAGAACCTGATCCACTGAAAAAGGTAAAATATAAACAAAACAGATTTGCTGTTTTGGTAATTATTCAGCGAAAAGGTAATTTTATTTTTCCAATTCATTTTTCCCTCCACCATTTAAACAATTAACCCAAATCAAAGGGCTGTATTTTTCAAGCTTAATCCACTGGAGGAATACACTGCTGCAATTTGAGATTCATTTATTTTACGGCTGTTTACACAATCTTCACCAGTGGTGCTAACAATGGTAGTCTGCACAGAATGATCTCACAGGAGCCTGCATATGTCAATAAAAGGTGCAACTGTATGAACGGTGATATGGAGAAAAAAAGCATTTTAATAGAAGGCTTTGTAAACCCTTTGAAGAATCTAATGAATTAAAGGAAAACGGTAACCCATTTGTGTCTCTGCGCTTCATGTCTCTTCTCTTTGAGGTTTCCAGCCAGTGTCTCATCTTACTGAGTGCATAAAAGGCCAAATGGTTGAATCTCGCAGAGGAAACATGTAGCTGTAGTGTGCAATGGAGACCTCCTGTGGCTGAGCTGAGCCACGGGCCATCTGAATGCACTCTACATCTGTTGTGACACTTAAAAAAACAAGCCCACAAAAAACCCATTATGATTCATTTTGGCCTCAGTTTTCCCCTTAAAAAGCTCACAGAGGAGAAAACTCTGCATGCAGAGCCTTGCATGAAAGATAGACACATTACCTTTTATTAATATAGGTTTTGATTGTTGCTGTTATTCTTACCTGCATTGTGACTATATATAAATTCCCACTTTCCTCCCTCATATACTCAAAACGTTTTTTTTCCGCTATTCATTTTAATAATTCAGATATGTTCAATATATATATATATATATATATATATATATATATATATATATATATATATATATATATATATATATATAGATTTATATTTATTTATAGAGTGCAAAGTCGGATGTTTATTTGCATTTTTATAGTTATAGCGTGCAGCCTATGAGAATCAAGTTTAGTTTATTAGAAAATCACATAAAACCAAAAAGTAGAAAATTAATAAAACTAATGTTTTATGGTCATATATGGGTTCCACAGTTCTGGGGAGGCTGCTGACTCGAGATGTCCTGCACACTGACACCCCACAAGGATGGTTAAGCAATTCCCAAAGAAACTGGATGCTGACTGAGAGCTTTATGGAAACATTTTAAGGGAAAATTAAATGGAAGAAAAAACTGTGGATAACCACCTTAAACGATGGCAATTACAACAGGATTTTTTATGAAAACAAAATCAGCCTCCTGATAACTGTCCATTTTCTGTTCTGTAAATTAGCTCAACATTTGGTTTTTCCTCAATTTTGCATGAATTGCTCCATCAGTGCAGCATAACATGGAAGGGATCAGGCTCTGGGTCTGCTGACGTTTTAACAAACATAATTAAATGCATTGTTGTTCTGGTACCAAGTACTGTACCAGGACC